CCCCCCCCCCCTTTCCCCTTATTTAAGTGTCAGGCTGTTTTTATGCAGTCAGCACCTGAAGTACTGAGCTTCCTGATCTATGCAGTTTCAATGGAGATGAAAATGTGCTCGTTATAACTCAATTGTGTTACCAGCTCTTACAAAGATTTCTTAGTCTTAAAAAATTGTTTCCTAAAGTCTGACTTACTAATTCCCTAACAGATGGTAGAAATTCCTTTTTATACTTTAATAAGTCGATAAGAACACATTCAAAATGTGGACCAGATGAAACATTAAGTGGAATAGAATAAAATAAGATCATCTTTATTCTTCCTATGGTTAACTGGCATCACTGAGCCTTGTAAAGTCATGACGAAAGCATTCATTATTGATGCACTGTGAAGAAGAATTAGGGTCATGTGACATTCTGCACATCAATTCTGTTTTCTCATTTCCCCCTCTAATATTATTCAGGAGATGCAGATTTACCCTGGAATCTAGGACTATTGAGTGCAATTACGCGGAACCACTATTGTAGTTGCTGCTGTTTCAAGGTGCTAGCCACACCCAGCAAGAACAGTTGTAGAGATTACAGTGTTACATAAATATTCTTTTTTAAAAAACTAAATGGGGGTATATATGAAAAATATCAATTCCAGAATAATACATTTCATATATTTAAGAGAAGGGTACTTCTATGAAGAGATGGGAGCTGAAAATTTTTATGCTTTCCCTGGTCTGATCTAGCTGTTATTTAACCTTCAAAATGGAATGTTTTATAAAGAGGATAAATTCACTTTTAGATACTGAGTTCCCATTGCCTTTCAGTATGGGCAGCCATGTCTTGAATCTGCAACTTTATCTGACAGATTATACATTGAGAGTTCTCTCTTCTGCTGGTGGGATCCATTTTTCTTTTAGGTCCCCAGGAACCTCCTCCCCCTTCTATGATTTAAATCGTAGCTAGGCTCTCATATTATATTATAAAGCATGCTGGTGAAGAAAAGGAACTGGCAGTAATATTACGTGTAAGTAGATTTTTTTCTCTCAGTGGAAATCTAAAGTAATCTAAAATTTGTTGTTGTGGTCATTGTTTTGTATTATAAATATTTTGCTAGGGAAATCCAAATTTTACTTAGCAGATAACAAAATGTGACCGTCTATTAGTACCTAGTAGGCCTCTTCAGGACGTGCTGTTGAAAGCTATAGGGGTTTTCTCATAGAGTTGACCGCGTACCTTGTATAATATGAAAATCATGTGTGGAAATGTGGTCCGCTTTTGTTAGGTAGCATCAAAAGCAGATGTATAAATCATAATGAAGAAGTTAGTTCTTCCCCCCCCAGGTCTGTTCTACACCACTTACCCATTAGGCTTGACTCTATCTTTCCTCTCACATACCAAATTTTACTTTTAAAAGACACAGAACCACAATTGAGATGAAACTGTATTTACTGTTACTCTGGGGGGGGAAATGGTGTCATTCTTAGTTATTGGTTGATTCAGAGCTTGTGCCAAACTTGACGTATGAGTATTTTCTTCTCATTTCCTTATTTTAATTCAAACTATATACTCAATTTTCAACTCCTTGTTTTCAGGTGGTTAGCCAGCGCTTTCCTCAGAACAGCATCGGTGCAGTAGGAAGCGCCATGTTCCTCAGATTTATCAACCCCGCTATTGTCTCGCCATATGAAGCAGGGATCTTAGATAAGAAGCCGCCACCCAGAACCGAAAGGGGCTTGAAGTTAATGTCAAAGGTGAAGCATTCTTTTGATAACCTAGCTATGTTAAATACCCGTTTCATGTAAGTTTTCAGTTTTTCATATTCACCATACTTCTTGAATACATTTGTGAAAAACGCTCGTTAGTTATTATACTTTTATTTTGTTTTGTTTAATTTTTTTTGCAAGGGATGTCATTAGAATGATACTTAAAAGACAATCAATTTCAGTTTTCCATGAACCTTTTGTATCTCGTATCTTGTTTTCTAAAAATAATTGTGTATGTGATATCATCCTGGTAATTCTGAATTGAAGCCTGAAATGTAGGAGTTAAGGACATTAAATTTTTTATTATGAGGTAAGCTTGGGGATAAATGCATTAAAAAGATAATGGAATTTTTCCATGAACTTTTTAATTTCATTAACTTTTGATTGCATGTATTTACCAATGTTTTGAAGCCCCTTCATATTTATATGCATTAAATGACTGTGTGCATATGTATTAACTGTATTTGGAAAATAGTAGAATGGAGAATTAATAATTTTAACTCCCAGCATATATCAGTGAGATAACTCCTATTAACCAAAGAACAGATACATATGTAGACTTGTACAGTAATTCTGATTCAGTGTAACACCGTTTTACTGTTTAGATACTCCAGAGTATTGCCAACCATGTTCTCTTTACAAAAGAGGAGCATATGCGGCCTTTTAATGATTTTGTGAAAAGCAACTTTGACGCAGCACGAAGGTAAGCAGCCAGATACTAAATTGATTGCTGTGTTTGAATCAAATGTTTTCAATTCCCTGAAATCCATTTACCTAGTCTACACGAAGCCTCTTTGTAGGTGTTTGCCTTTATCTCTGTAGATCAGCAATATAACTTGCCTCCATTCACTTTACTTTGAGAGACAGTACTGACATAAATCCATCGTTTTTATAATTTGGTACTATTTCTACTTTGTGTCATCTGAAATTCAGATGTGATTTTTAACATATGTACTAAAAGGATCTGGTGTACTGTCATGTGGGGGAGAGGGTAAATTGCATTTATTAAAAATTAATATCAACGTAAAAATAATGCACAATATTATATAATCAGGATGCTTTTAATGTTAGAGAATTTTTACTCTTTCAATTTCAAAGTGCATCTGAACTAAAAAGTTAGACTTTAAATCCAAATGCAAACTCATAAAATTTAGTTGGGTAATTAGATAACTATTAAAATAATTTTAAAATTTTAAAAAATATATAAGCTAGGTTCCATAATTAATTAGTTGCTTCACTTTGTCTCTGAGTGTTATCTGTACACTGGGAATAATACTATGCTTGCCTGGCTTGGAGTTTTTAACAAAACAAATGAGATCACTTAGGAGAAAATGCATTATAGATGTAAGTTAGTGTTGAGAATTCTGTTCTTTCAGCATGACTATAACTGTCTACTCATAGCTTAAGCAAGACTTGTGCAACTCTTTCTTTCAGCTTGTCATCATCATAGTTCCTATCAACTTTCTGCTAGGAAGTTGGAGTTTTTAAGGTGTGTTTTTGGAATACAGGCCACATTGAAGTTTATGTGAACTCAGCATGGTTTTCATTATAGCAGATTGAATACCTATGGGTAGTTAAGAGTTCTGATCCTGGCTCTGACCTAAGAAGCTCTGTAACTTTTGGGGACATTTTGATCTTGTCTGGGTCTCTTTTTGCTTTGTTTGTAAAGTACTATATTTTCTCCAAGGCTCATTCATCTACAGCCACTTGCTCTATGATTTTAGAAGCTCCCTGTGAAGTTGAAGCTGGGTATCAAACATGGAAAGTCAGCTTTCACTGAGCTCATATTGTCAAATGTGAACACCTCCTTCACGTTTGTAAACTCTTACATCACAAAATTGCCTCATGTAATTTAATTCTGACATAAATAAGAGTGTGTCTGGTTTTGAAAGTTCTAATGACTTCTGCATTTTTCAAGGTTTTTCCTTGATATAGCATCTGATTGTCCCACAAGTGATGCAGTAAATCATAGTCTTTCCTTCATCAGCGATGGCAATGTTCTTGCTCTACATCGCTTACTCTGGAACAATCAAGAGAAAATTGGCCAATATCTTTCCAGCAATAGGTAAGATTTTCTAGTCACGGAGAAACTGAACACTCTTAGTTTAAATTTATACCAATAAAATGATGGGTGCTTGGCTAGGGGTGTATGTTTGTTTGTTTTTACTTTGCATCTCCTTGGAGTAAGGGTTATTATTTGGAAGGACAAATTTATACTCCTTTTTTGTTAGGAGCTGCAGTAAATGATTACGAATCCTATCTAGAAGCTACTGAACTTTTTCTTTATGTCAAGCCAAGAAATCACAAATTAGCTCTCCATTTTTTAACCGCTTTGCAAACTGTCGAATATAATGTGCAAGAATATATAGAAGTTTAAGTTTTAATCAAACATGTACTGACCATAATCTGTAGAGCAGCTTAATTCGTAGGGCTTTAATAATTAAAACATCACCAAAGTTTTAACTCTATAATCAATTTATTTGTGACATTTTAAGTATATATTATATAAAATATTTTACATAAAAAGTACTCAATTGAAACTTGTTAAATTAGAAATTATTTCATTAGCCAATTAAAACCTTTTACAGTCTAAATTATATGCTTGCTAGCCTTCTTAATTTTGGGGGATGGGAGGGAGATCTCCGTAACAATATGTCTATAAAGTACCTAGATTCCTACGTATGAAGAGTTCTCTTACAAAGTAGAACAGGTCCAGATTTTGGCAATAAAAATTCTTTGTTCAGTCATGGCAAAGATAGACCATGAAACCAAGGCTAAGCACTTAGAAGAAGGGAATTTAATTTTCATTCTTTGTGAATTGTTACTGATTGAAGTAGACAGGGACTTGACTGACGCATGCCCATGAAACAGAACTATGAAGGTGCTTGAGCTGGGTGACCCTAAAGTAAACCCTGGAACATCAAATTGTAAGCATTCTTTCAAATCTTGCAGATAATAGAGAACCATGTCTTCTGCCCAGTTGCGATATTATTTTGCTGTATTTCTTCCGATCTTTGTAACATTTTATTTCTTGGTGGGGAAACAATATACATTGTAAAAGGTTCCTCCCCACAGTCTCATTTCTCCACCTCTTTTTCCAGAGAGATACTTACTTCCCAAAGTTGGTGGGTATGCTCCCTGGGGATATTTTTATCCTGTTTGTGTGTGTATATGTATGATAAAGGAGCGTGTGAGGAGGCACAAGCACTGGGCACTTGGTTGGTACCTTAAGGTTCGTAGTCCAAACCTCCCCAGCAGCTGAGTGGGAGCCAGGTTTGCCAAGCGACTTTTGAGAAGATGACACCCAGGAAAGCTCCGTGGAGCAGTTCCGCTCGGTACCAAAGGGGGCTGACCGGAGTCTGGTCCACTCAGTGATAAAATGATATGTGTGGCACAGTTGCATGCTTTGACATTTAAGAAAAATATTCTACATGTTGTCTCCACTCAGTGCTTCATTGGAGATTTACCAATTAACTTATGTTTGTATTCCATTGAATGACTATCACAATTTATATCTACATTAACCCAGTTGATGAATAGTTAGGCTTATTTCCAGTTTTTCCACTATCACAGCTAGTGACAACTTTATACTTGTCTCTTTGTGTTTGAATAAATGTAGAATTTCTGTATCCTGAGGCACACACTGCCTCAGCTTTACTTGATATTGCCAGTTTGCTTTTCAAAGTCTGTGTTCCACTTCCCACTTTGACCTGCACTGTGTGAGAGTACCTCTCTGTGTTAGTCTGGGTAAACTAGGGAAACCAATCCACAGAAACTCATATGTATAAGAGAGGGTTTTATATAAAGGGTAAGTGCACATTAAGAAAGCATCCCAACCCAGTGCTGCCCAAGCAAGCCCCTAAGTCCAACATTAGCCTATATGTCCAACACCGATCTACACAGTCCTCTTCAATCTCACAAAACACACGTAATGATGCCAACTGCAGGAGGAAAGCTGAATCAGTGAGCGTGTAATCATCTCATTGCTGGCAGTGGTCTCTACACGGCTGCTCCAGTGCATAGGGCTGCACCTGGGGTAGTTCCATGTGGCTTCTCCTCAGGGGTGTCTCACAGGAAGTGGGCCTTGCTAGCTGAGGCAGGGAACTGGCTAAGGCAGCTGCACCCTGGTCCGACCATCAGAAAGCAAGAGACCCGAGAACTAGAAAGGGCAGGCTCAGTGAGCCATTTAGCTCTGCCCTTCAATAAACCCCACATGTGTTTATCGGCCAGATTGGTACAATAAACCTTAACTATCTCACTCTCCTAGGGTACATAACCTCTCCATACTGGGCATGGTCACGCTTCTGAATTTTTTTGTCAATTTGGTGTTTGGTAACTGGTATCTTAATATTTTTACATAGCCTGAACTATTTAACAGCTACTGAGTTTTCTTTTTTCTTTTTAAATTTATTATTATTTTTTAATTGTTTTATTAGAGGCTCATACAACTCTTAGCACAATCCATACATACATCAATTGTGTAAAGCACATTTGTACATTCATTGTCCTCATCATTCGCAGAATATTTGCTCTCCACCTAAGCCCCTGGCATCAGCTCCTCATTTATTCCCCTCCATCCCCACTGCCCTCTCCCTCATGAACCCTTGATAATTTATGAATTATTATTTTGTCATATCTTGCCCTGTGTGACGTCTCCCTTCACTCACTTTTCTGTTGTACGTCGCCCAGGGAGGAGGTTATATGTAGATCCTTGTAATCGGTTCCCCCTTTCCAACCCACTCACACCACTGGTCCTGAAGGGATCATATACCCTGGATTCCCTGTGTTTCTAGTTCCTGTTTTTACTAGTGTACATCCTCTGGTCTAGCCATATTTGTAAGGTAGAATTGGGATCATGATAGTGGGGGTGAGTGGGGAGGAAGCATTTAGGAACTAGAGGAAAGCTGTATGTGTCATCGTGCTACATCGCACCCTGACTGGCTCATCTCCTCCCTGAAACCCTTCTGTAAGGGGATGTCCAGTGGCCTACAAATGGGCGTTGGGTCTCCACTCCTCACTCCCCGCCCCTCCATTCGCAACAATATGATTATTTGTTCTGATGATGCCCGGGGCTTTCTTTTTTTTTTTGCTAGTTATTATCTCTTTTTATTTAAAAAATTTTTTTTTATTTTAAACATTTTATTAGGGGCTCTTACAACTGTTATCACAATCCATACACACATCAATTGTGTAAAGCGCATTTGTACATCATTCTCAAACCATTTTCTCTCCACTTAAACCCCCGGCATTAGGTCCTCATTTTTCCCCTCCCTCCCCGCTCCCCCCTCCCTCATGAGCCCTTGATAGTTTATAAATGGGTATTTTGTCATATCTTGCCCTGTCCGATGTCTCCCTTCACCCACTTTTCGGTTGTCTGTCCCCCAGGGAGGAGGTCACATATAGTTCCTTGTAATCGGTTCCCTCTTTCCTACCCTGCCCGGAGTTTTCTTATCTACTCTGGTTAATCAGGGATCTCATATAGAAGTAGTACGCCCCATTTCTCAAAGTAGATTATTTTCATATTGAGGAATAAATGGATAAGAATATTAATATAATTAGTAATTGATTTCCCCTTCAGTGGTAATGGATTAGGAATCCTGGAGGTAGAAACAAATATACAAGTTTTATAGTTTTGAGGATTGTCACATTTCTAAGATGTTTCAGTGCATACTTGTAACTCCTGTCTTTTTGGTGCAACTTACAAGTCAATGGGGACCATCATGGATAGTAAAAAAATAAGAGCAATTAATGATAAATTAAAGACACTGTGTACCACCAACTGTGACCTGCTACTTTTTCAAAAGGAATTTTCTCTATCTAGGGATCATAAAGCTGTTGGCAGACGGCCTTTTGATAAAATGGCAACACTGCTTGCCTACTTGGGTCCTCCAGAGCACAAACCTGTGGCAGATACACACTGGTCCAGCCTTAACCTCACTAGCTCGAAATTTGAGGAGTTCATGACCAGGTAACGTATACCTCTGACATGCTGATTGCTATTTTGTAGTTAAGGTGCACAGTTTACCACAAAGCACTTGTTAGATATGCTTGTATTTCTGATAGAAGATTATCAGAATAGATGTGCCTAATTACCACATTGGAATGGTTTGGGAACCTAGTTTGCTCCTACCTTAGATGTTATTGAAATATGTTCTTTCAAAAAGATTTTCTTATAGAAATACTAAGATCTTGTACTAACTAGTACTTAATCTTGTTGCTTTGGTATATTTTCTCCTTTAATTCTTTAAAAGGAGGGTAGACAACATATTTTCATTTTATTGTTAGGGACTATACAACTGAGTGGATAACTAACTTGCCTGACAAGTGCATAGATGCTTTGATTGTAAGGGCTGCACTATTGATGCTAGGGCATTCTTTAGAATGCCCCTAAAAATTACTGGTATACACTTCTTTTAGGTTGTAGTTGTACAATTAGTATATTGCTGTACTACTAGTGTAGAATTCCTGTGGGCGATCACTCATCTGTGTGATGATAGAGTGAATGCCAGAGGCAGAAAGAGAATAACCTGGCCTTAGGAGTTTGTCTTCTTTTCAAACTGCTTGTTTTACCTGTAGCTTTGTTTGATGTTTCCTAATGTAACAAGTACTTATTTTTGTGTAACTAATGGCAATACTTTCCAAACAAAATTTTGTATTGCCTAACTGAAAATTACATAATAAAAACAGATAAAACTAATTTTTATTCATTATTACTAGGCATTTTTCCATTTTCCTAAGAGAACTTCTTAAATAAACCTTTTTACTTAAGATTGTGCTTTCTCTGTCTAGTAAAACAATCTTCTGTGCTTTTGAAAACTAAATGAAATAATGTGCTTAATATATGTAGCTATCTGGTACATATCAAGTATTTTATATATTGTTTTTGTTGTTGTTTGAACTCCCCCTGATGCTCCCTAAGGCATACTTTCTTTAAAAAGAAGATGGCTTTACAGTTTTCTCAGTTATAAAAGTAATACCTGTAAAACTATTCAAAACAAAATTCTGAAGAGGAAAATGTAGAATTCTGTTATTGCACCTCTTAGAGATACATCAGTTAGTGTCGTGGTGTCTGACCTCCCAGTCATTTGAATGCATGTGTACCTTTGCCTGCATCACATGGTACCTAGGGGGTTTCCCACTCATACGGCACAACCGCTGACTCTCTGAGACCAGTGACATGAACTGGCCTACCACTACCACTACGACTGCCCAAAGACACACGAAAGGCTTAGGTCAAACAAAACGTATTGTAGATATTCTTTTAAATATGTAGCTGGATGGCACTTTCTGAGAAACTTACCTAAAATAGAGTTCATATAGAAATGGGTAATGTTTAACAGATTAAGAAAGGCAGAAGATAGAATGAAAAGAGTCTAAGTCTCCTAGGTATCACAGAAATCCAGCTGGGAGAGAATGGGGAGAGGCAATGTTTGAAGATAGGTTGGATGAGGACTTTCCAGGTTAACGAGTGGCATGAATCTACAGATGAAAGACATTCGCTCTGAATCTGGTTGTTGTCAAGTCGATTCTGACTCGTAGTGACTGTCTGTACGATGGAGCGAAACACTGCCCAGTCCCATGCCATCCGCACGGTGACTATATTTGAGCCCATTGTTGCAGTCACTGTGTCGATAGGACTTTATCAGAAATATTTACATACTTAGTCTGTGGTGAAGTGGTATTCAAAATGAGGCAGATCAAGGTGAACAGTTAATAAATGGTGTTGGTACGGTTCAACAGCCAACTAGGAAAGACACTATGTCCATGAGTCAAAGAGGACAACACGAGCAGTTTCCTTTCTTTCTGGGTTTAGAAGGCCGTTCTCACTGATTTAAATCCATAAGCTAGAAAGGAAAAGATTGGTAAACTGAACTCTTAGAAAACAAATGAAACACAATTTTCTGTCTGAAGGGTAACAGCACCAGGAGTATAAATAACCCTGTGATACATATTTCTGTAGTTGTCTTTAGTCATTTGAAAAGTGGATTATGGTTCAGAGAGTAAGTGTAACTTTGGAAGAGTTTGCTGCATATTGTCAAATACTTTTCAGAATGCCTATTGCTATTTAAAATATTTTGCCATTTAAAAACTATTTCGTCATCCTATCATTTTTGGAAATACTCAGTGGACAAGTACAAAGTTTATGAGTAACTGTTCTTCCCCTCCTCCCCCTTCCTTTAAGGCACCAGGTACATGAAAAAGAAGAGTTCAAGGCTTTGAAAACATTAAGTATTTTCTACCAAGCTGGGACTTCCAAAGCTGGGAATCCTATTTTCTATTATGTTGCACGCAGGTAAGAAGAAATACTATGTTTTTGTTTCTCTTAATAGAGTCTTTAGCATGATAGCAAATACAGAGTAACAGCAAGCTTGGATTTTCACTTTTGACATGACAGAATCTAAAACAAATTTACTTGGTGAAATACCCATCCGGTTGGAAAATGATGCTCAACATTTTAGAAATTGCTTTTCAGATCAGACTGCCCCTTCCATATCAACTTTTCTTCCTGTATCACTTTAAAAAAATATTTCCTACAGTGGAGTAATTACCAAGAGTAAAAAATGGCAAATAATTTTCTGTGTTTCAAGGCATAGTCTAATTAGATCACTTCAACGATATGATAAGAAACTTTATATGCACAGACATAAAATTTTAGGAGCTTGTTTTGAAGAACTTGTAATACGCTACAGAAGCATTGGGGTGGTACAGAAAATGATTTAGAGGCAGCATAAGAAATCCCCATGAAGATGGCACTAGTGGCAGCCTATCAAAGTGATGGGGTGTCGGTTCATGCTGTCTTCAGTCAGGGCTAGTTCCTGACATGCCATGCTGGAAATGCCATGAGCTCCTCTGAATGCCAGTGTATTTGGTCATTTTGTTCCATTTAATATAATGTAAGATCATGGTAATTGAACCTTAAAAATAATGTAATAAGGTAGAGAAAACAGTGATTTGGGGAGCTCAAGAACTTTAATTACTCTTAGTTCTACTACTATTTATTAGTAATTATACTTGAGGAGTTGCAAACAATTAATGTGCTTGGCTGATCACCAAAACGTTGGTGGCTCAAGTCTACTCTGAGATGCCTCAGAAGAAGATTGTTCTACTCTAAAAGAATCAGCTACTGAAAATCCCATGGATTGTAATTCTACTCTGTATACACATGGGGCCCCCCAGTCAGAATCAGCGCAACGGCTGTTGCTTTTGTCTGTTTGTTTGTTAATGTAGTACTTAAATCTTTCTGAATTTTCTGAATTTAATCACATTGATGAATTACATCAGTAGATTAAATAGTTATGAGTGACAAAATGTAACAGTTTATAGGAAGTAAAGAGAGGTTGGAAGTGTTACCTGTGATGGAGTTTATTTGTTTAAGGCTAAGTAGTGACCTCTGTTCAAAAATAACCATTTGATACAATCCACAAAGCACAGGTTCCTTTATAAATTATTGCGCTTTCTTTTTAATGTGCCTTCATTAGTTTCGTGGCTTCATCCCTTCTACTTTGTTAATTTGTTTAGTTGGATAATTCAGATAATACTGCTGCTCCATGCATTTTGATGTTTCCTTCCTTCTGGGACAAGAAGCCTAACTAGTAAGGTTCAGTGTTAGGTGACAGTTGTTGGTCTGTCAGATAGTAGCTATCATCTGAACAACTGCACTGTTAATAATATCAAGCAGCAGTATTATGCCATATTAAAGTTAGCAAAAGTGTCGCTGTTTTCTACTGTACTGATGTATTAGTATTATCACCTACTCGTGAAATCTGATAACACAGATAGCCGTCTTGTTTTTTGGAACATTGTAGTTTCTTATTAGAAAAACCAGAAACCAAACTCACTGCCTAAGAGGCGATGTCGGATTATAACGACCCTCTAGGATGGGATAGAACTGCCTCTGTGAGTTTCTGAGTCGGTACTATGACTGGTTGTCAATAGCTGACGTTGCAGATTGCAGCTGAACCTAGAACCACAGCGCCACGAGGGCTCCTTTCTTCGGAGTAGATTACAACTACTTTTTCTCTGAACAAGTGAAAACTTTCCCACCCCACATCCTCCTTTAGATCGACTCTCACCGCCACACAAGCATGCTCTAGTTAAATGCCACTCACATTATTTCTTTAATATAAGCATTTGTCTTTTATCTCAGTTTAACAAATAATTTGGAATACAATGGTATTTTGCTTGTTTTTATTTAATAGAGTAGTTCATATTTTTCATATATGAAGACAGAAACCATCATATTAATAAACTTCCATAATTTAAATTTGCAATCAAATATCTTTCAAGTATGCTTGTTGTCATTCAGCATGGAATAATGAGCTAAGGTAAGAATTTAAGGTAGGCAGTTCATTTAAGCTTAAATGCACACAAAACAGCAAAAATATTATAAAAGAAAAGAAGTACATGTTATCCTTTGGATTGAGTGTGGTGCCATCATTTGTCCAATACTTAATATTCCTGGTTGTTGCTGTCTTTATAGTCATTGTTGTCTTCACAGTTTTCTTACATGTCCAGGTCTTCTTGGTATTCCAAGTCATCTTAGGATTCCGGGTGGTCTTGAGTTTGAGGGCCCTGTTGGAATTTGGTGTTGTCATGGAATACAGGGCCTTGTTGGAGTGCGGGGTCATCTTGAGAGTTGAGGCCATTGTGGGAGTTGGGTTTATCCTCAGAGTTGAGGTCATCTTGGGAATTGGGATCATCTTGAGAGTTGGGGTCATCCTGGGAGTTGGGGTCATCCTGGGAGTTGAGGTTATCTTGGGAATTGGGATCATCCTGGGAGTTGAGGTCATCTTGGGAGTTGGGATCATCCTGGTAGTTGGGGTCATTCTGGGAGTTGGGGTCATCTTGGGACTTAGGGTCATCTTGGAAGTTGGGGTCATCTTGGCATTCGAGGTTTTCATAGAATTTGAGATTGGAGTTGTTCCCCATGTATTACCAATAAACATGATGAGTAGGCTGACCAGTGATCGTTTGAACATCATTTCTTTCTGTTTCAAAGTAAATAACATTTAACATATGTACCACAAACAAATAAGCAAATCTCTTGATTGTATTCAGTCATTAAATTCATTGTATGTAAATGTTTACTAATTCATTGATTATGAATGAACAAATGAATAATTTTTCTTTTTCTACCCCTCGCCTGTCTCCTAACTTTGCTTGTGCATGAGAGATTACTTAGAGATTAAAAGAAAGATTCCTTTTTTAAATTAAAAAATACAAACAATAAAATTCTTGACATGCGTATAAAAAATTTAGGGCCTTAAACTCTTATCTTTCTATCCAGCATCATAAACCATACCCCAAACTCTCACGGCTATTGAGTTGCTGCCTACTCATAGCACACCCACTCCCTCTGCCTGCCACCCCGTTGGTTTCTGAGACTGTGACTCTTTACCGTAGTAAGAAAGCCCCTCTTTATCCTGAAGAGAGGCTGGTGGTTTCGAACTGCTGACCTTGTGGATCGCAGCCCAACGCCTAACCATTACACCAATCTAGTGCAGGCAAAAATGAGAGGCAATTTTGGAAGGTAGAGTGATAAAACAAATACTATTAATTTCTTAGGATTTCTCATAGACTTTATTCCAAAGATTTAAGACTCATTTAATTTTTATTCCAAAGATTTAGATTATAAATTAGGTATCATTTCTGTTTACTCCAAAAACAAAATGAGGTTAAACCACAAGTTTCAGTTTCCCCAGGGCTGGGTTAGGATGTCTTCATTTTTTTCCATTAAACAAAACAAACTAGTTTTTAGAGACAATCCTAGTTTTTAAGATACAAGGAAAGTTAGAAATGATAAAATTCGCCCCCTTCATTTTGCAAATAGGCTCAGACATAGGTGAGGATACATAGCTTGTAATAACCAGAATCAGAACTTGAGTCTGAGTGTCAGAGCAATGTGAAAGCATTCTGTGTGTGCGCGCACGCACATACACATACTTAACTAGTAAACTATTTTAAAAGTAGGAGTGATTCCCCTTTATTCTATATTAAAATCTGAGCCATGCCATATTGGAAGTAAAACCAGCCCATGTTGGACATAGTTAAATAAGTAAGTATTCTTTTTGTTTTTTAAACCATAAATATCATATTTTAATTTTTAGAAACTTTATGTGTGCAGAAAAAAAGAAAGAAACCTTACATGTGCAAAGAGTTGCATTTTGCTTTACCACACAATAAAGATCTCAAATTATTATTACCTTTGGGTAGTCTTTCCGTCTTTTCTTGAAGATTAAAAGTTTATGCCTTTCCAGTGTCCAGTAGGGAATCTAATTTCCTGCACACTGCCTATTATTTAAGTAGTTAGTGAGGAATCACGTGTTGTAAACCTGACCTGTCATTTGCTTTTGAGTATCCTAATGAGTGTTTTCTAGACAGCCACTCTGAACACATGGGCTGTGGCAGAGATCAAGGGACACAAAGTCTTTTGGAGGAAAATCTCACTTCTTGAAAGAGCTCACTGAATACCACTTAGTTATACCTCATATCAGTGTATACATTACTGAATTTCCTTGCTCAATTGGCTATAAGTAGATGAGTATATTATTTTGCCTTCTATAGTTTTCATAACTTGTCAAGTATATTAGAAATAGATTTATTGTAAAGCAACTGTGTATGTGTTTATTCACTACTTTCTGGGCATGGTATTTTGAATTTTAAAAAATAATTGAGGAATGTAGCATCCTAGAAATTTAATATCCGAGAAATAAAGAAGTTAGACATTATTGCTATAAGACCGAGTGAAGAATTGCATATAAAAGCATATATATCAGATTCAGAGTTTTAAATTTTTATATTTAATGTGTTAAACCACTTACTTTAAAGCACATTAAATAAATTCTTGGAAAAAAATTTTCTCTTTTTGTCAGTCCAGTAATTAACTTACTGGAAAGTTGAGTTATATTGTGTGAATGTTTTCATCATGCTGGCCAGCATTATTTAAAGCTCATAGGGCTGTGAACAATGATGTTGACACCCAAGGAAATTGCTACATAAATGGCAAAAGTACAAGTCAGTACATGTTCCTCACTTGTTTCACTTTGCTATGGTTTTTCCCTCCTGATTGAATAGAACCTATGTTTTCTATTGTATGGTGCATAAAATCTCACTGACAACCAAAGTAGATGTGAACCAAGGTAGTCAAGATTATGGACCAGCTTTTGGCACTGTCCACTCTGTACGTATTTTTTTGCTCTGGTGTTTCCTTCTGAGATACCTGATAATAAATCCTCTGAAGATTGCACCTTTTCTGTAAACCTTTCCCCTGCTCTCACTTTTTAGAAACCAGTC